CTGGATTTAGCTCCACCTGTCATTTGGACTCTGACCAGCTTTACTGGACCAAAGTGCTAAAGACAACATTTGAAAATGTTTTGTACTCGTACTTAGTCTAATATAATTTAGTGAACAGAAATATTTAATAACTTTTCATTTTTGAAAATCAGTTCAGATCTGCCACTCGGATGCATTATGCAAGTATTTTTTGCTGAGACTGTAAAAGCATCCTGAAAAGTGCTATACAAGTCTGATGTCATTTTCTTTCATTTCCAATATTTTTCAGCTAAGATTCCTGGCAGAGAAATATTTCAAGAGTAGCAGGAAAAGCTAAGGTTGATTAGCATTAGTCTTTGTAAGCTTTAAATTATACTTAATAGTAGAATTTAGGTAGCAACTGACAGTAGAATTAAATTAAAAATGTATTCATATTTTAAATTAAAGACTATTAAAAAAAAAGTTTTAGGCACTAAAATAATTAGTCCATATGAAATTATCTTATCTTTTGCAGAAAAACTGGCATTTGTGGGTTTCAAAGGCTCATTCTACCCCGACTGGGTAAAATTGGAGATCAGCAGTGACCAAGCAAAGATCCATCAGGTCTTGCCTGTCCCTATCGTTTACAAGTTCAAATTATAATTTGCAGGCCAAATGAAGAGATTTGGAAGGTAAGGTGACTCCCAGATAGATACTGATATTGACAAAATGGAAACATTTGCTTTTGTACTTCCTGCTGTCCTTAAGAAACAAAAGTCCAAGACTGAAAAGCTGAAGACCATCAGAATGTGGTGGACAAAGATTTCAAGACCTCCAACCAGAGCCCAAGTTTCCACAATTGTTTTGATGCGTCTCATTTTCTCACAGTCTCTGGCAGCAACGGCTCACTGCAGTCAGAAGAAATGTGGACTTCTGCTAACAATAAATCTAACTTTTTTTTAAAGTTTGCCACAGATGTAAATGTATTCTTTGGACATATGATTCACCATTTGTTTGTCACAATCTTTTGTAATCTTACTTAGAACCGAGAATAAGTCATCTAGACAAAAATACAATTTTTAGTTAAAACTTTTACCTTTTGGAAAAATTATTAGACATATGGACATAAGACATGGGAATTGTTTTTCTCCTTTTTCCACTTGACAGAGAGAATTTAAAGCTGTAAATTCTATGAATCTTCATAATATCATAACCATGACCAGTGATGTCAGTAACACGTTACTGACGTTCGATCACTTTTTTCAGTAACTAGTAATCTAACACTTTGCTATTTCAAATCCAGTAGTCAGACTACTGCTACTTATTGAAATCACTTTGCGTTACTATTTTATTTTGTTATTCAATGTTATTTCCTCTGCATCTTGGGGAGTGACCACCGTTTCTCCGATAGTGTCAACAGGAGAGAAATGGAAACAATGGAGGGAGGAGAGAAATGCGCATCTCATTGCTGGAAAAACAGGAACTATATTGAGTTTCTGTCGCCAAGTTCGATTATTATAAGCAGCTTTGGGCTTGTTTTTTTCTAAAGTCACTTGCAGATTTAATGAGACGCGGGTTGCGGTTTTTGGGCTCATTTTTGAAGGTGAAGTTACTCTTTTGGGCTTGGAAATAAGCAGAGACTCATAATAAATCCCAGAATTTGTCTGTGTTGACCAGTTTAAAACCCTTCTTAGAGTTTTCCAGACAATAGTGGAACACAGAAATTACAAACTTTTTTTGTACTGTTGTAACCATTAAACAATCTGATCTTATAAGTTGAGACACATTGTTGATGTTATAAAATAACCTGCAATTAAGTTTTGGCAAAGCTCAAAGTAATTTTCACAGGTGGTGGAGTGTTGTTGTCAGCAGCTGCTGAAAGTAACTAAAAAAATAATCTAACCAAGTTATTTTTTCAAAGTAACTATGCCATCACTGACCATGACCACTAAAAAGTCATTCATAAAGCAGGTTAAAGTTGTATTAAGTTTCTATGGTAATTTTCTTGCTTTACTAGGATGACTGAGAAATGCCAGCAAGGGTTATGTTAAAACTGAAGTTATTTTCTTTGGACCTAAAGAAGAACAATCTGAAGTCAATGAAGGGTTTCAGTTATTACAACTACAAACCAGCAATCAGATGTGACATTTGGTGAGTGATGGACTCAGACTTGAACCTTTAGAGCCACATAAAGACAGTTGCAAAGTCTATGAAGCCTTTAAGAAGAACATCTCCAGGATTACACACCAACATCTCAGCAAGATCTTTTTCAGGGGGGCCCAAAGTGGGTCCTGGAGGCCCGACATCCTGCATGTTTTAGTTCTCTCCCTGGTTTAACGCACCTGGATCAAATGATGGC